AAGGCAGTTTTTAACAGTAAAGCAATAATAAGTTTTACTTGATTAAAACTTGTAAGTTTTACTTGATTAAAAGATTTTAATCTGATTACTATAGTAACCTTAAACTTGTTCTTAATTTATTTTAAAAGAGCAATATTTCATTTGAAAACCTGATCATGGATTTTTGTCTTCGATTAGTATCTCCCAATTAAATCACAAATTGTGTATAATAGCCACTAATACCCTACTTCTCAACCCAAAATATCCGGTCATTTGAATTGTCTTTCCCCAACATGAAAATTGGCATTTTACCTTTTTATTTTCCAAGTTTCAAAATAATATTCAATATTTTAATATCTTACAGACTTTTTTTAAGTTTTCTCTAACAAATATTTGTTATGAACTTTATTCGTTAAATGAGTAATAAAACGTCCTTGAAATACTATCCATCATATCATAAAAATGTTTCAGAAACTATTCTACATCCCTAGGGATATAGAGGTTTAAGATATGCTATTTGTCTGTAGGACACTCACACTTTGAAAGGGGATACAGACAAAGAAACAAGTAATATAATGTGAACTGTGCCAAAATAAGGCTTTGTACAAAAAACGCAGTAACATGTTGGAGGACTCTTAGTTTCAGCAGATTTTCTCAAAAAGGTGACATGATTAAACTGTCACCTTTTTGAGTAATAAAAGCTTTCTAGATATAAAAAGGCATAAAAGAAATGGAGCTAACAGCAGAATATCATGTGCTCTCCATCCCTCAAAGGCTAGGCATGTGAAACAGCAATCAATAATATTAGTATTGGGAACAAAATATATATGTTAATATGACTTGCTTTCAAGGAATTTATTGTCTCCTAAGGTATATTTAAGGTTTATAAATCTTTCACAGCGCTGCTGTACTAAAGAGAGGGAGTGATAAATCTGGAGGTCTGTCCCAGCTCATGAAGAGTTTCATGATCCAAAGTAGACTACACTGGCTTCGCAGGAGATGGGAAGCAAATACAGTTTTTATGACACAGATTTCAGAAAAATCACAGAAATATGAATGATAATGGGATTAGAATAAACAGATAATAAGAACAGTTTAGAAGTCATTTTGAAGGTTCAAGAGAAACAGTGAGGGCCTCAATGACATCTGGAGCAGTAGAACACAGAGGAGATGAATTTAGATCCAATTCTTTAGGTTTTTTGCTTGATTGCTTACCTGTGAGGCAAAGAAAGGAATTTAGTCTCCTAGATTAAAAGAAGAAAGTATGAAAAAAAAGTGTGCTGGGAAACTTAGCACATGCAAAAAGATATAACTGCATCATTATTTAACTGTACAAGAAATATCCAAAATGAATTACAAACTTGAACAGCAGACCAGAAACTGTAACATATATAAAAAAAATAAATAAGGAAAACTTTGCCCCACATTGAATTCAGTGATGATTTGGGGCCTTGTTTCCAGGGCAAAGAAAATAAAAGCAAGAACAAACAAATGGGAGTAAATTAAACTAAACATTTTCTGCACAGTGAAACTTTTATCAAAACAAAAAGATATTCTACCAAAATGGGAAAATATATTTGTATATCATACTTTTGCCAAGAAGCTAATATCCAAGATCTACAAAGAACTCATACGAATCAATGAAAAGAAAACAATAAAAAAAATGGACAGATGGGGCCCTCCCTGGTGTGGCCCAGTGGGTTAAAGCACAGCACGATGAAGCTATTGCAGTCATGAAAGCATGAGTTCGATCCCTGGCGAGAGAGGTGACCCACATGGCATGGCAAACCTCTCCTGACCCAACCCCTGCTCCCGTCAGCAGTGTATTTCAGTATGTCTACCTGTTTTGCTCCCCATTCTGTCTCTGGTGAATCTCTCACCCCCACCCCACACACCACTGACCTGTACCCCAGTTCTGTATGCATTAATAAACAAAACTTTAAAGAAATAGACAGATGAACTAAACAGATTCTTTTCCAAGGAAGACATGCAGATGGCCAACAGGCAACAAAATAGTAGACATCATCATTTGTCATCATGAAAATGCAATTAAAACTACAGTTATAGGCTATCTCACACCCATGAGACCAGCCCATTGCAAAAAGTTCAGAAACAACAAGTGTTGGTGACAATGTAGAGAAAAAGGATTCCTCATTATGGGTGAGAATGTAGACTGATCCAGTTCCCACAGAAAGCTATGGAGTTTTCTCAAAACTAAAAATAGATCTACCATATGATACTTCATTTCTACTTCTAGGAATTTACCCAAAGCATAAAAAAACACTAATTCAAAAGGATATACATATTTCTGTGTTCATTGAAGCCCTCTTTACTATAACCAAGTTATGCAAACAACCAAAATTCCCAAGGGGCAGTAACTATTAAGAAAATGTGGTGTCGCTTCTCAGTCTTTTGGCTCAGATGAAGTGAAGAAAATGTGTAAAATAAAGAGACACCGTACTGATTGGGAGAAAATTTTTGCACTTCACACAACTGATAAGGGATTGATCACACAAGTATACAAAGAACTCACAGAACTCAAGAAAAACAAAGTAATGCAGTCCAAAAAATGAGCAGTAGAACTCAAAAGACACTTCTCCAAAGATGAAATGCAAATGGTAGACATGAAAAAATGTTTGACATCCCTCTTAATCAGAGAAATGCAAATTAAAACCACAATGAAATAACACCTTACACCAGTGAGAATGGCACATATTGAAAAAACTAACAATAACAAATATTGGCAAGGATGTGTAGGAAAGGAACTCTCCTACACTGCTGGTGGGAGTGCAAACTTGTCCAGCCACTATAGAAAGCTGTGTAGAGGTACTTCAAACTATTAAAAATGGAGCTACTATATGACTCAGCAATTCCACTCCTAGGGACCTGCCCAAAGGACACAGAAACATTAATTCAAAAGGATGCATGCACCCGTATGTATATTGCAGCACTATGTGTGATAGGTAAGACTTGGAAACAACCTAGACACCCAATCATAGATGACTGGATCAAGAAGATGTGGTGCATATACACAATGGAATACTATTAAGTGAAAACAAAAAGATAACCTAGTGCCGTTTACAGCACTATGAATGGAGTTAGAAGGGATTATATTCAGTGAAATAAGTTAAAAAGAAAAGTACCTGAAGGATTCAATTATAGGAGGAATACAGGGAAGCCAAATAAGGGATGAAGGGGGAAAAACAATAACAATTAAAAATATATACATAACAAAACGAATCAGACAGCTATAGGTCAGAGACATTTTGCGGCAGGGGGTGGGGGAGGGAGGTGGTGCAAAATGAGTGTGGAAAGAGCACAGGGGCTAAGGAGATAGATAGTACACAGGTGAATTGGTGGTGGAAATTCTATGGGGACTACACCTTATGTAAAATATATACAAATTAATTAAATATTAAAAAAATTCTAACTTGGAAAAAAGAAAAAAATGTGGTGTGTATATATGTGTATATAGCCTATGACCAAAGAAACTCTTTCACTGGGAGACTGGTTACAAATGTACATGGATTTATTAATATGGGGTTAGAGATTTGAAAACTCCTTTCTTGATTTTACCTAGGAAGCCATGGAGAATTCCAGAATTCATAGCTAAATGTAACTTATAATTAACACATTTCAATCACCAATGCTAAAATTCCACTTATCAACTTGACTAATCTATTCTCAAAATCTTTCCTTATTCCTGAGGAATCTTTCACTTCTAAATAACCTGATGGTAGTTTTTAGGATTGCACTCCTATAGTTTATACCTATTACAATAGTTATATATAGGATTATATAAATTTGATCTAATCCCTTCATCACATGTAATTCAATTAATAAGGTCTTAATGAGCATCCATGTGCCCAGGGCAGTTACAGGCACTGGGTATTCACTTATGAATCATCCTCAATCCCTGTTGCCTTATAAGATAAAATCAGGTGAACATTTATAGTTCCTTTCTCCAGCTGACCAAAGTAATGGGTTAAAAACCCTTATGGCGTAGGGAGGACAGTTAGGGACATGTTAAGAAATCATATCCCATATACCTTTCA